ATTACTGAAACGTATCGATTACTCTGAAACACTTCGCACACAAGTTTCGTTTCATGCAGATCTGCAACCAACTTGCGGACCTTCTATCTCTTGGTCTTCCTAGTAACGTTTTCCCTTACGCTTTGGTTTGAGAGCTTGTGGTCTGATATCGGTCGTGCTGAGAGTAACCAGGTACACGGCCGTTTTTGTTTGCACAAGGAACTGAAGTCATCCGTAAACTGTTTACAGTTACCGAAGTCTCGCTGTGAGATTGTAAATAGAGTTCAGGGTGTGTCTATCGCACTTGTTAAGCAGCTGAAGGCTCATAACCGTCGTCATAAAACTGCAGGTTCGCCTGTGCTTTCCCCCAGACTGTTTCGTGGAATTCCACACAACGCGATTAAATGTCTGAAGGAAACTGGTTAAAACAGTTTGATGTTCTTGTCCTCGGGTTTTCGCGGCTGGAGTTCAGCGTATAACTTTTGGCTTCGTGGGAGGAGCCGCTTCGAATGTTGAAAGCTATCGAACGTTTGCAGACATTGCATTCGACATCTCCAGGGCCCTTCTTAAGACTTCCAATACACATTTACGCCGGAGATGGAAACTGCATTTTTTTTTTTGCCTAAATGACGCAGCTCATTCCCGAAAGCCGAAGTTCGGTGATATTAATTCGCTTCATTTTAATTCTGTTCTGTGTAATAATTTTGTATAGTTTTCCTATTAGATTTGTTATATGAATCGATCGTGTACAGTTTTGTTTCTTAGGTGTGCTAATTTTATGTAGTTATCGTCGTTAGATTTTACTACTTTATCAAATTAATTTTCTATATTGCGTTTTCTCTGTGATGAAATGTTTGAAATTAATTTGTTCAGTTTCAGTATTATTATTTGTGTTAATTTTATTGAAGGGAACGCCGTTGGACATCTGCAAATTTCGCCTACGGTCCAGAACAACTTAATCAATACTTTATGAAGATTTCCGTCTTCTGGGTTGTTGCGCTGTGTAGTCTGGTAGATGTTTACCAACGTTTCCGAGGTCATACTGCCTCCGTCATCAGAGTATGAAGATGTCCGTCTTCTGGGTTGTTGCGCTGTGTAGTCTGGTAGATGTTTACCAACGTTTCCGAGGTCATACTGCCTCCGTCATCAGAGTATGAAGATGTCCGTCTTCTGGGTTGTTGCGCTGTGTAGTCTGGTAGATGTTTACCAACGTTTCCGAGGTCATACTGCCTCCGTCATCAGAGTATGAAGATGTCCGTCTTCTGGGTTGTTGCGCTGTGTAGTCTGGTAGATGTTTACCAACGTTTCCGAGGTCATACTGCCTCCGTCATCAGAGTATGAAGATGTCCGTCTTCTGGGTTGTTGCGCTGTGTAGTCTGGTAGATGTTTACCAACGTTTCCGAGGTCATACTGCCTCCGTCATCAGGGCGATATACTTTGTCCAGATTAGAGTTAAACTTGTTAAGGACATTATTTTGGTACCTGGGTCACAGAGTTTGCCCCTTTCGTGGGACCCCGCCCCCCTTGGCTCTCTCAGTCCATCGTCACGCGTTGTGAAACGTTTTCCCCTCGATCATGACTGATACGAAGTGAATACGTTTATCTTGACGCTTAAAGTCGGGTTCTTCTTAGTGGTCTCTGGCCATCAGTATTTCCATTCCAAATTTCGTATTCACCTTGGACCATGACCTCTCACCATTTATTATCTTCCTGAATTGATCAGTGCTTTATAATTAATAAAGTTGAAACAGCGTCGTTGAATATTTTTGTATGTTATTCATCCGTGGGTCCGAATGTTCATGACATGTATTTTCGCACGGAAACCCGTGCGTGCGTGTTCATCTGCGCTGTTTCACGAATGATGAAGTTTCGTTGCTATCTTGCGATTTTCTTTAAAGTAGGTTCTGTTTGGGGTTTCGATGAACATGTACACCGGAAGTTGTCCGGTTGAATCCAAGGTTTTTCTCATACAACTCATCCTACAAATGCATGTTTCGTTTAGATATTCATCATACTGTGAATCTTTTTGGCGAATGTTTAACGAAATGGAAGGAAAGTTCTGTGTCGTGATATCTGCAATAAATGAACATCCAGGTGAACATGCTCGGTACCAAAGTAGTCCTTCCGTGTCCATTAATAGGAACATTACATTTTGTAACAAGCACAAGAAGATGGAATTAGAACGTGAACACGGCTAGCAAATACAGGCACAATTTGTTAAAAATGTGGCCCAGAAATCCGCATCGCCGCTCGGAATATTCTTGTTTAACGACACTAGTCCCTTGTCGAATTGGAGTTTAAACTTGGGTTGAAGTTTGCGGGACTGTCGATTAGTCAGGCAGGCCGCTGTTGTCGTGGGACTGACGTCAAAACATGAGGCCAGCTTCTGAAGGAGTGCTCGTATTTAACGACGTACAAGCTGCTTAAACATAGAATGAGATCGTGGACGGTGATTTGGGAACGATTTCGGAAGTTGCGTTGTTCCTGTAAAGAAAACCACGATAAATGTCCGACGGGGTTGTCGGTCTCCGGGCCGGTGTCCGAACCGGGAATACGCCCACTTACGAAGCAGAGCGGGTCGCGGGTTCGAGTTGACCGCCCTGAGTGATGATGTGAAGCGAATGTTTTCTGCTCGGATCGCGTCATATATGAAGAAGGTCAGACAGGCAGGCAGGCAACAGCGGAGGGACGTTTTTTGTGTGCCAGATCGGTTCCTAGCATCACTCGAGATACAGTGCTGCCAACATGGTGCAGCAAGGTTTCTAATCTAAGGACAAAATCACAAACGAGAAGGAAACATAATGAATTCTGCAGTTATTCCACTTGGCCCGGCGGTTGAAGCAGTTCTACTTCGGGTTGTAGGTGGAATCTGATGACACCTGCGCTCTGTCGTAAGGATGGGTTGGTTAGTTGTCGGTAATATTCCGTGTGTCTGTTACGGCTTATCCTTGCCCGTTTATCTGTTCTTGGTCGTGTATACGTCTTTTATAAGTTGCTCTGTATTTGACAATATCGTCATGTGGTGTATATTTATTTATACAAATGCTAAGCATAATGAGGAGTGACGATATCTTGAGATGAGAACTTTCCGCTCTGTTACGAATGTTTGTCTGACATCAATGTCACAGCCGCAGGGCGCTGGTTTCTTTTATGGATACCAGACGCCGCTACCGGGTCACGTAAGACTGCGAAGAGGCGGTAGCACGTCGTCACCCTTGGTCCCCAGATTCATTTATGGTTTGAGAGAGAGATCAGCTTCACCAAATAATTGCAGCAAGGAGACTGGATTTTGTTTGCCCATGACAGGATCCGGTGGAGGGCTTTAGTTAATTCGGTGATGAACCTTCGGGTTCGATAAGCCATCTAGTTAGTATAGTTTACGTGTAAACTAATCATATCCATCCGAGCAAGCAGTGACACGCTACAGAGACACCCCAGACCCGCAAATAGGGCTTAATATGAAGATGGTTGTATTTTGGGATGTTCCGGCGTGTAGTCTGCTAGATAGTGACTTATTTCCATTTAGCTCACTACCTCATCAGGCAGTGAGCTTCTCTGAAACGTTGGTCTTCACTACGCGCCCTGAGAACCTTAAATTTCACCGAGGACTTATTATGGTTATCAGCGTCATTGAATTCGTATTTTTGAGAATAAGGGAAAGCCGCGGTTATTTTCCGTGTGTCTTAGGGGCTTTCTTAGCGAAGTTGGAGCTCCACGATGTCTGGCCGCATGTAACAATTACAGAACCGTTGAACAGATATTGGTTAAATTAGGCGCTAGTGTGTTATGCTAACATTTAACACATTCCATATATGATCAGTGCCAGATACAGTAATGAGAAATTTACATGCTTTTCTGCTCGCATTTCGAGAACAAAATTTGTAGAGTAAAATGAGACATTACGCTTTTCTCGAAAATCTCGCGTTTGCCGAGATAATTAAACCAAAGTGTTCTTTTGTTATTCTGTGAGAACCGTTGTACAGACTTTGATAACATTTTGTATTGGAGGCTCGTCTGTCTTAATTATTTAGGCTGGCATCACAGTTAACATCTACGAATTGAACGCCCAGATGCAGTGTTTCGCCACGCGCTCATTTCATAACTTGTTTCCTTTAAGTTGTTTCAATGCAGCTACACAGTTTCACATGACAAGTCTGTCAAAACTGAGGGCGATGTCGGTAATTAGGGCTTGTGTCCCAACGCTGGTGTGAAACTTCACTGCGACGAGAAATGAAGCTGGGTTGTCGTCACGAAGACAGATTTCTCAGTGTTGATCTCATGGGCTTTCATTGTGCTCTGGAAACTTGCTAGTCACGAGGGTCCATTAGCGGGTTGCAGGGAAATTACAGGCCAGAGATACACTTTCAGCCAGGGTTTTCCCATTTTCGTAGGCACCCTACGACCAGAGTTCATAACTGTCGATTATTCCATGCTAGTTCACCACTTACCTTAGCTGCTTTTGAAAATCTTTGGTTAGGGTTGTTTTGACCTCATATGACGCCGTGACGCCATATTTTTCCATAGGTTCATCCGTGTTGGATGTGTAGAAATTAAAACAAGGCATTTGGATCTGCTTTCGGCCTTCTCTATTTTATGAGTACCAAAGCAGTTCCTCATCAATTGCGGGGGTTACATGCACAGCAATTGTTATCTCGAATCCACGTATTTTTCATATTTACACAAATTGAAGAGTGCGGATCATAAACTCCAAATAACGCTGTTGGCAAGTAATGGATGTTGACGAAAAACCGCGTGTAATTGAAATTCCTTAATTTTGCAGAGTTTAACTATCTTCCCAATTTTGACGAGAAACTGGTTTCTGCTCAGGATGCGGTGTTACCTACTTGGAAAAAAAAAGGTTTACGGAAACAGGATCTGTCTGTTATCAGGCTAAGGTGGTGAGAAAGGGTGCCTACTCTCTTTAGACGTAGTCTCTATCGTCTACCACCGGTCCTTTATACCTTAACCTGATGACGAATGCAGTCTCCGTAATGTCGCGATTACTCTGTGTCTGGTTTCAGTTGCACGGCGATGCATGTGGGGGAGTACTGCCAGTACATGAACCCATGCCACACGGGACCCGGCCCCCGGTGCCAGAATGGGGGTTCCTGCAACGTGCGGTCTTCGCCCACGGCCAGCCCCACGTTCTGGTGCACCTGCCCCATCGGCTACTCAGCCTCCCTGTGCGAGATCCCGGTGGCCAACTCGTGTGACTCGGACCCCTGCCTGAACGGTGGCACGTGTACGCTAAGGAGTCTGGACAGCTACTCCTGCACCTGCGCCCCGGGCTACACCGGTCACCACTGCGAACTGCAGGATCACTGCGCCTCCATGCCGTGTCGCAATGGCGCCGAGTGCGAGTCCCTTGGTGACACGTACAAGTGCACGTGTGCGCCGGGATTCGTGGGCCCCTCGTGCGCAGAGGACATCGTGGAGTGCAAGGAGGATCCCTGCAGGCACGGCACCTGCTTCAACACGCACGGATCGTACAAGTAAGTGGCCACCGAGTCCGTCTGCTGTGACTCGATCATTAAAATCTACTGCCGTCTGGGGTGTAATACCGTGTAGTCCGATAGACATTGACTTACGTTTCGTACCCTGGTGGTGGAGGCTGTACGTTCCTCAGAACCGTTCGCCAATGTCTACCACGCTACGCTGTGTTACATCCCTGAAGACAGCAATGTTCACAGAAACCCAGATCTCACCAGTTCTCTTCGCTCGGAGTTTTCCCATCTAAATTCTGGATGGAATTGTTACTTTGGTGCGGACTGGTAATGACCTCTTGGTTTGCAGGGCACCCATATGTGTCGTTCGACGTTTTACAGGAAATGTTATTACTTGTTGCCTAAAAGCCGAAACAATTATTTGCTTACATTTTAGGTCGCCCCCATATTCGTATTTATGTGTTTAACGTAAGTAGTTCTAACAAGAACTGGGCGCTGTGTAAAATTATTTTACCGCACAAAATTTCAGGGCGATACCCCACATGTTGCGTAACTGCCACGTGGTTTATCCATAACTGGGACCTATGAAGTAGGAAGGCCAGGCAACCATTAGATGCACGATGATTATACTAAATTTTGTACAAAACCGGAAGTAGGTTTCAAAGTCGGTAAGTTTATTGGTTATTTAATGGTGTCTTCTTAGCATGATTGTGGATGATGGCTTGCAATAATTTGGAAGGAATCGATCGTAGCTTATTTGAGAAAGTGTTTGTGCATTGTCGAAAGGTACTTCTAGATTCAACGACCGACCTTCGGCTACGGTCTTCGAACTCGGGACGAAGGCGAAATACAATATAAGAGTACCAGTGACCGCTGGTTCGTCATACGTGGCTTAGTGCCAGAAGTCCAATTTGGTCGTTTCGAAGTTTCTTTGAAAAACCGGGAAAATTGTTCACTAATTGAAAGACCTACGTGCAACTCGAGATACAGTTGGCACTACTGCCGGAACCGTGGCAACCCATCGAGGTGAGAGAAAGTTGCTCCGCTTGTCTGTGTGGGATGTATGGGAACGTGCCCCGCCCGGGTTTCGAACCAAGTACAGAATATTCTTGTCTACTGCACGAGAAACGAATAACGCAAGAGACGCCATACGGGGAGTCGTGTCCCTACAGAGTATGGCAACTCTAGCCGAGGCTGGATTTTAGAGCCCGCATCAAATGTCACATCGAAAGTGATACTGCCTTCGCGCCCAGGGCAGTTCATGTGGGATTTGTGGTGGACAGGCCCCCCGAGTTCTTCGGTTTCACCCTGTCAGTATAATTCCTCTGCCTCTCCATATTCACGCTTGTAAAATCTGCGGGCTGGACAATAGTTCCGATAGCGCCCGCAGTTCCGCGGAGACGCGTTCTCGTACCTTCGCAACGACGACACTGGCTGGCCA